TCCATTTGGATCATTCTTCGACAATTTTAACCCACATTCCATTGGTGTGTTCACAGGATTAACATTCAACATATTGAATTTCTTCAATACTCCTTTTGTATAAGCTTCTTGTGAGATAAAAATTCCTTCATCACTCTGAGTTACTTCAATTCCTAGATAATAGGACATGAGTCCCATATCCGTCATCTCAAATTCACGTGCCATTCTTTTCTTAAAATCATCAAACATTTCTATACTACTTCCTGTGAAAATTAGGTCATCTACATAGATGCAAACATAGAACACATCGTTGTTTTTCCTCTTAACATAGAGTGCATACCCATGAATGCACTTTGAAAATCCATTTTCTTGCAAGTATTTATCGAGCATACTATTCCATGTTCGAGGTGCTTGCTTCAACCCATATAATGTCTTTTTCAATCTAAGTACTTTATTCTCTTGTCCCTTGATAGCATAACCTTCTGGTTGTTCAATGTACACTTCTTCTTCTAGAAATCCATTTAGAAAAGCAGATTTTACATCCATTTGATGTATCTTCCATTGAAATTGTGCTGCTATTGAGATTAGCAACCTCACTGTCTCTAATCGGGCAACTGGGGCAAATACCTCTTCATAGTCTATTCCCTGCTTTTGCTTGTATCCTTTAGCAACTAGTCTTGCTTTGTATCTTTCAACATCACCATTAGCATTCCTCTTAATTTTGAATACCCATTTGACTCCTATCGCCTTCTTTCCTTTTGGGAGTGGTGTCAATTCCCATGTTTCATTCTTTTGAATGGCTTGTATTTCTTTATTCATGGCATGAATCCATTCCATTTGTTTTTGTTTCTTCATTAAAGCTCATTGGTTCAATATCACTGAATAAGAAAAATAAAGAAGTATTTTCTTCTAACCTTTCTGTTGTTTCATATAGATCGGAAATACTTCTATATTTCTTTGGTCCTTCACTTGAATTTGATGAATCTCCATTTGAATGTAATGAAGGTGATAACATTTGAGGAGATGGTGGTGGAGTAGTGGGAGCAGTCTTTGAAACATGTGTTGAATTTCTTCTTCAAAATAAGGAAGAAAGTTGTAAGATTCTTCCTCTTCTACGCTCCAATCCCATGCTGCCTCTTCATCAAAATCTACGTCTCTACTAATTACTGACTTGTTGGTGTTTGAATTAAACAGCTTATAACCCTTAGACTTTTCATCATATCCAATGAAAAGAAGTTTTTCACTCCGATCATCAAGTTTAGACCTTAGTTGCTTAGGAACTTGTGCATAAGCAACTGAACCAAATACTCGAAGATGTGATACACTTGGCTTCCATCCACTCCAAGCTTCTTGAGGTGTCACATTCTTCAAACTCTTTGTTGGTGAACGATTAGACAAATAAACTGCACATGCAACTTTTTCTACCCAAAATTCTTTTGGCATCTTCTTATTTTTCAACATGGATCTTGCCATGTTGAGAATGGTTCTATTCTTCCTTTCGGCAACCCCATTTTGTTGTGGTGTTCTAGGAACAGTAAGCGGTCGGCGAATTCCTTAGTCTTCACAATATTTGTTGAATTCATTAGATGTGAATTCACCACCTCTATCAGTCCTTAATGCTTTTATTTCATAACTACTTTCTTTCTCTACTAATGCTTTGAACTTCTTGAAAGTTTCAAAAGCTTCAGATTTATTTTTTAAGAAATAAGCCCATGTCTTCCGGCTATAATCATCAATGAAAAGCATAAAGTATGAACTGTTACCGAGTGATGGGGGTTTGATAGGTCCACGTAAATCTGACTGCACTAACTCGAGTGGCTTTTGAGCTCTTGAATTAGTTTGTTTTGGAAAGGGTTTCCTTGAATATTTGCCCAGCAAACATGCTTCACAAAGTTGATTCGGATGATCAACATGGGGTAATCTTTGTACCATTTTCTTGTGACCTAGTTCCTTTAGTCCTTCAAAATTAAGGTGACCAAATCTCATATGCCACTTCCAAGATCGATCTTCAATACACGTCTTCAAACACATACACTACTACAAAATTGGGCTATGGAACCACTAATATGGCATCGGTTAAGTCACTTGTCCGGTTTCTTAGATCAAGATATCTGTTATCTTAGAAATCTGGTTTCTTAGATTTTTAATAAGAAACCAGTAGTATGAGAAATCCGATGCCTCAGGTACACTTAAAATTAATGTACTTTAACTAGGGTCAAAGGCACCGTTGTTCTTTAAATTATGGTCTCTTCTCATATTATTTTTTTAAGCTTTATATATTTTTGAAAGATTTTTAATATTTAAGTGATGAAACCCTACTTTTTTTATAACCTAGAAAGTAGAAACCCTGCTTTTTCCTCTCCCCAGCCGTGTTCCTCATATTCACCCTATCTTCAAAATTCACCACTTCTCTTTAAAAATAAAAACTGAATTTTCTCTTTTTAGTTGAAGAAGAGATAATTCATATAACAATGGTGACTAACTATTACAATGGTCTCACCTGCCATTTCTTTCAAGTCGATTACGCTCGTAGTCGTTTGTAAGGATCACGATTCCGTCAATGTCCGCGATACGACACCGTAGTTCTTGGGTTTGAAATGAATCGATCTGACGCTAAACTTAAAGATCCCAGGTTTTATTTTTCTTCTAATCTATTAGTTTTAATTGTTTTTTGTTTTACGGTTTGAGATTTGTGGCGGAAGGGGGCATTTTATGGTTCCATTTATATGATTTGATTTGAGCTTTAATAATGTTTTTCCATTGATTGAATAACTTTTTTGTTTGTTTGAGATTTTTCATGTTTATTACTTAATTTTTCATATTTTTATTGTTGTTGTGTTCTAAATCTTTGATGTTGTCATTCCTTGTGAACAGATTTGCAGGAAGCGGAAATGGGCTAAGTTGAGAGCTCATATAAATTACAATGTGTGACTTTAGCTAAGAAAATGGTTCAGATTCATATTGTATTTGTATATTTTTTTTTAATTTATTAGTAAGTTCATATGTTATGTAACATCATTATTGATTTTGTAATATTAATATACAAGTACAAATGTAAATGATATAGATTATTGTTTTTATCAATGGATTGGACAGTGGTTAATTTTAAAGCTAAAATGTTTATGATCTACACGTAGCCATTATGAAAAGATAATGGTTCATCAAATAATATGGAAGTAACTGCTATTCTAGTAGGCTGAAAAAAAAAATGTAACTATTATTCTATTTAATTTTTTTTTTTTAAAAATAAATAATAAGCAAAGAAACCGGTTATTCCAGCATACTGGTTTTTTAGTGTATAAAAGAAACCTGAGATCTGACTAATTTTGGTTTCTTTGCTTTGGTAATCAAGAGTTTTTTAGTATAGCTAAGAAACTGGGACGTTTTTCCAAAGTGAGCCAATTTTGGCAAATATTAACCAAAATGGTTGCGTGGCAAAAATATTTACCAAACTAAGCTTTCAGGCTAAAACGCTGTCTCGGTCAGCGTTTTATGCCTGGGTTTTTTTTTTAAAAAAAATCAACCTAAAAACGCTGTCTGGGACAGCGTCTTTGTTGTTGACCTTTTTTAAATTTTTTTTGTAATTGCCTTTTATTTATAAAAATGTTTTTAAAAAACAAAAACAGTTATACCAAAGACGCTGTCCCAGACAACGCTTTATGTACAAACTTCCTTGTACCTAAAAGCTGTCTCAGACAGCGTCTTATTTTCAACCTAAAACGCTGTCTGGGACAACGTTTCTCTGCTGGTGTGCAAAACAGCAGCAGAATCAGCCTTTTGCCACTGATCTGCCACTTTCTTCTGCCCCCACCCACCACCCCCTGCCATGATTCTTGCCACCACAATCCACCAACAACCCCCACCATCGACCACCATCTGCCACCACTTTTGACCTCCAACAACACTTCAAACAGCTCCACCACCAACCCCAACCATTCAACAACCGTCGATAACCACCCACCACAACCAACAACACTAAAACCACCATGAACAACCACATTAACCACCACGGGCCATCCTTTCTTCCCCATTTTCGACTATGGATTCCAAATGTCTGTTGTTTAATGTACATTAGCCCTGAAGGATCTATTTTGACTGACATAAATCCGATTTGGATAAATAAGCAAACAAAACTTCAAAACACAAACAGATTCATTCAACCAACATGTCTTATATTGATAATGCAATCGTTATATACAGCATTCCAGGAAAAAGGACAAAACAATGATACAATACGTTCACTACTCATCAATTTGGTGTAACCCTTCCCTAGCCTCACTGTCGTCCCTTCGTCTTGGACGACGCCGAGTGTAATGGTGAATGGTGGTGAATGGGTTCCGGCGCGGGGGGGGGGGGGGGGAGTGAGCTGGCTGGACGATGCGTCCTCCTGGGTTCTGAAGGGTGCAGAACTGTGGAAGATGTACTCCTCTGCCTCTGTGTGCGACGTAGGATCACCTCCACTGCTACTCTGGCCGGGGTCGAACCGCGAATGGATGGAGTGACCATCATCACCGTCCCGCTGTTGGATGAGATGACCGTGACCATGTCTGCGTAAGGAAGTCGCGGACATATCTCGCATCCGCTGGACCTGGGCTCTGGTGGGTCCGTCTGTAAGGGCGAGGGACAGTGCATCATACATCGCCACCATATCCGCCGCCTGTAGCAATCATCGATCAGTCAAGTACATGATATTTAAAAAAGTTAAAAAATGAGGATGATAAGTATAGTAAAAGAAACTCACATATCCGCTAATGACATCATGTGCCGGGTGGTAATGGGTGGACGGTGGTGTGTAGCTGGGGTTGATGAAACGGCGTGTGATAAGCCTGTACCACACCATGTACGGATCGTCATGATCCATAACGCCCTGCATGGGATAACCCTGAACGACATGACCCAACCGCTGCTCCTATAGCTGAAGATACTGCCAATGCTCCAGTGCCCAGTTTGTCTCCGTCTTTCCCCGACGGTCAATGTCGTGAAGGCCCACGACAATGTCACAGTTCTGGGGAATAGGCTGCTGCAGTCCGAACTGTCACATGACGCGGTCAGGTAGGTGACTCTCCACAACCTTGAAACAGATCAGGGGGACCCGGGCACGCCACTCTCCCTGATGCTCCAGTAGATGTGCAGGCATGACATCTACCAACTCCGGTACATACGGATCCCATGTGATCTGCAATAACACATCCGAAATAAGTTAGTCCACAATCAGTATACACAATACCTAAATGATTACAAATGTCTTCAGAGTTTGTACCTGATCCTCAGTGAGTCGATCAAGGGCGTCTCGGTAGTATGGGAGACCCGTCGCCGCATGTGCCTGTGTGAGTCTGGGGACCATCCACCTGGGGCAACAAATTTGGTAAGTATGTTTACAAAATGAAATCGTATATGGGAAAAAAAATGACAATTGTTACAAACCTGCAACCGTAAGCCTCATCAGCTGCAGGGCGAGGCGGAGCGATGTACGACTCATACTGGTCATCCTGGTCCTGCTGCCCCGGACGATGTACAGCAGGCCTACCTGGTCTTCCTACGTGGATGTGCTCCCAAGCCCATAGCTTCAATAGCAAAACACAAAACTATGTTAAATATGACATTACTCATTGCATAATTCGCTTGTGATAATATACGTAGTATACCTGAAGCACAAACAGAGGTCCTCCAATCTCGAGCGCACCACTCTGTGAGGCTCTGCAAAGTTGGCGATACAACACCGCCAAAGAGGCACTACCCCAGCTGTATCCACGGATATGCTCCCAGTCGTGGTCTAACAGCTGTAGGTAAATAAGCTGCAAGTGGCTCCCGCTCTTGTTGCCGAACAACACGCCGGATATGAGGAAGAACAAGTACGCTCGAGCGTATCTCTGTACTGTGGCGTCATCGGCGTCCGCAGGCAAGCCCTGGAAAGTATCTCGTAACCAGACCGTCCTCAAGGCGGAGCCCCTAACATCGTTGGGACCCGGCTGCACCCCGAGAACCCGCACAACCAATCCAACGGGATCGACTAGAAATGATCCCGTCACCGCAGTCCCCTGTACTGGAAGGCGCGTCAGTATTACCACGTCCCGCAATGTCACAGTCGCCTCCCCAACTGGTAGGTGGAAGGAGTGCGTCTCCTGCCTCCATCTCTCCACTAACGCCGTGACAAGGTGTCAGTCGATCTCCCTGAATCCCAAGCGATGTACACCGCCAAAGCCAGCGTACGTCACGTACTCAAGGCAGCGATCATGGACAACCCAGGGGTTCCTGTAGTGCCTGCACTGTAGTGGCTTCGCTACGTCACCCTGAAAACACAGGAGCATTTATAAGTAACAAAAGATAGTACATCAAAGAATCCAAAAACGTTAAAGATGAATCATTACCGTCAGGTTCCATACGTCGACGCTCCGATGGGTGTCCTGTAGTGTCAGGACAGAAGGGTCAACAGGTCCGGGTGTCCTATCCCGTACGTCCATGATATCTGTTCATTGAAAACGTTACACACCAAACACTAACACAATATATTGAATACTAATTTCGATTGAAAGGCATAAACAGGAAATCTCGAACATCCAACGTACAAAATAAAATTCATCGAATTGAACACAATAACACATAATGTAGAAAATTATAACTGTTTCATCAAAATAACACCACTACATACTACTATATCAAATAACACATATACACTTAGGTCCTATGTTGGTCTTGATGGACAAGTAGTGCGGTTGTGACCTTGCTGGTGACAACGGCTGCATTTGGTTGGGGGCCGGTTGCTGTCATCCATCTCATTGCGTATGCGCTTCGACTTTGGACGACCTTTTCCACGTATCATTGTGCCGTCCGGAATGAGTTTAGGGCCTACGTACTGTGCCCACTGTGCCTAGGTTGTCTCGCAGGGGATCGGCCAGAACTGTGGTGCATAGGTGTTCATGTAGGCGGCCGACTGCAACAGAGGGTCCACCCAAGGCCGTTCTGATAGTGAGTATGTAGCACAGACTTCTAGCACATGAGAACATGGGAGGTGGAATATCTTCGGTTTGTTGCACGTACACGTTCTCAACTGCCAGTTCACCGTATGCTTGTGGCTTCCTTTATTACCAACTCTCTCTCCCCTCTCTGTTGTCACTTGGTAAATATGCAATCGCCGGTTATAGGCATCCACTCTATGATATCTGGCTTTAGCGGTGTTCTTCTCGAGGATGGCAGTGACCTTTGGGGGGTATGGAAGTCCCTGATCAGACCTAGCCTCAGAAGACTCCCTTCTCAAAGTGAAATACTTGTTAACTATGTGGAAGGTTAACTCGACAAGGGACATAATCGGTAGAAACCGAGCTCCTTTCAGCACATTGTTGAATGTCTCCGAGAAGTTAGTAGTACATATACCATACCTGCGACCACTGTCGTGAAACAGAGACCACATAGGGAACGAGACTTGAGCAATGTACTCAATGGCCTTGGGACAGGCCTCACCAATGAAACACAGATCAGCTTGAAGTTTTCTTTCTTGCCTTTGGTACGCAGCGGCCTTGAACATGTCTCTCATGTCGTTACTTCGCACGTGAGTCTTCAAGTAAGAGGCTATGTGGCGGACACAAAACCTGTGATACGCTCGGGGCTGGGTGAATCCAACATTAGGATCATTCATTGCTGCAATGATCCCAGGATGCCGATCAGAAATAACACAAAGGCCATCCCGTTGCGTGACACGATCTCGAATACAACCTAGGAACCAAGACCAGCTGGAAGTGTTTTCCCCTTCAACCACCGCAAATGCAATAGGAAATACTTGGAAGCTTGCATCAACACTCGTAGCAACCAACAGTGTTCCTTTATACTTCCCGTACAAGTGCGTCCCATCGATACAGATAACAGGCATACAATGTTTAAAGCCATTGATACAAGGACCGAAGGCCCAAAACACTCGTTCAAACACTTCCATGTTGCTGTAGTATACACCATCCACTAAAGCTTTGTGTTTCCATACGACACATGTTCCCGGGTTTGACCGTAGGAGTGCTTGCATGAAGTGGGGAAGTTTGCCATATGAACTCTCCCAATCCCCAAATATCTCAGCTATAGCTTTCTCCTTGGCATACCACGCTCGTCGATACGGGACATCGAAATGAAATTGCTTCGAGATCAGTTCCTGTATGAATTCCACTTTCAACGAAGGATCTTTCCGCACAAAGGACTTCACATACTTGGCTATTACGGACGAATCCAAGTGTGGGTGATCATTAGATAGTACTTCAGTGATACATGTCTCCCGATGCGGGCCTTTGTACGTGACTATGGTAAAACCACGTGAGTGCTCACTCGATTTGGTACCCCGTAGCATCCAACCACATTTCTTCTTGCATCGCAGATGTAGGACACCATCATTCGAGGTCATTGTGGTGTAGAATTGATTCCTCTGAATAGAATACATCTTCACCATTTCTTGAAGCAGTTTCTTGCTCTCAAAATACATTCCCTTCTCAAATTCTCCCCCGGGAACAAAAGAGGTGTGGCTACCCGATTCGGCCCAATACTGATCAACTTCATAGTTCTCGGGTACCTCACTGAACCAAGGTATGGGAGTTCTAACCAAAGGCTGACCATCTTCCACCTGTGTAGGTTCATCATCCCCCTCTCCGTTCTCGTCCTCATCATCCATTTCCGCATACACATCATACACCGACAATTCATTATTCACAACATCATCAAAATGATTTGGCTCTTCTCAAAACGGTGAACCATCATCACCTTGCATAGGAGAGTAGCTATGCAATTGCATCGGCGAAGATGCCACGGTGTTCGATGACGACGGAGCAGGCTGGCCGAACACTGTCACGCGTCCCCTCGCATGTACTGGTGAAGCTATATGAGAACTAAAAGGCAAGTGAAATTGGTCGTCCTGCATCATTCGAGTGAAAGAACCCATCCCATATGCATTCGATGGAATGTGGTTTGCGGGTTCTTTGAAGGACGCGGTGTTGTAATCAGAGACATATGTAGCTTGCTGTTATGCCCGAGTACTTTGTTGGGTACATATAGGCACTGTTTCTACATATATCTCATTGGGAAAACCCTTCATTCCTACCATGCTCCTCAAACCTTTCAAATGTCTGTTCGTAGAGACAGGTAACACTTGCACCCCATGACCAGTATCACACCTCATTTTAAGGTTCAGTTCAACAGTCATAGGGTTTGAACCAATACAACTGTGAACCTCATTCATCAGATCAGTCACAGTCATGTTCGGTTCAAGTGTTATAAGGTCCATATTCCCTCCACTGTACTCCACATTTGGTCCATTACACAAAATTTCACCTCCCCATCGACATAACAACGCTACATTTTGTCCAGCCATATTCTACATAACAACCAAAACACATTTTACGTAAAGCCGTTAAATCATCCCTAAATCACCACAATCAAACAAAAAAATTTTACATACTCTACAAATTAACTACTAAGAACCCCTAAATCACCATTATTACACAACAATGTAGGTAATTACAATTGTTCAAACCTAATAATTATCAACCATTGTCAACAATTTTCAACAAAACCAACAACAATAATTCAACATTATCCAAACTATTATCAACACTAACAATATCAACACTACCATTATCAACACTAACAATTCAACAATTACCAACACTAATAATTCAACAATACCAACACTAACAATTCAACATTTTTAACACTAACAACTCAACCTCATCAACATTTTAACCCAATTCCAAAAAAATTAGAAATCACCAACATAAACCCTAGAATTTAAAACACAAAGAAAGTTGAATGAATACCTATTTCAGGGTGAGGGGAGTGTATAGTGGGCTACACGGAGGGCGACGGTCGAGGTGACGGCGGGCGACGGTGGAGGTGGCGGCGCCGGCGGCGGTCTACACGGAGGAGCACAAGTATGAGAGAGAGGGGAATTAAGTTAGAGTTTGGGAAAGAAGGGGTTTGATAATGAAGGAGGAGGAAATGAAATGAAATATGCTGTTGGAGGGAAAAAAAAACGACAGAAACGCTGTCTCAGACAGCGTTTCATTAATAACCTTAAACGCTGTCTGAGACAGCGTTTATAGTTCCAGAGTTAAACGCTGTCTGGGACAACATCTTTGGTATAACTGTTTTTTTTTTAAAACATTTTTATAAATAAAAGGCAATTACAAATTTTTTTTAAAAAAAGGTCAACAACAAAGACGCTGTCCCAGACAGCGTTTTTAGGTTGTTTTTTTTTAAAAAAAACCCAGGCATAAAACGCTGACCGAGACAGCGTTTTAGCCTGGAAGCTTAGTTTGGTAAATACTTTTGCCACGCAATCATTTTGGTTAATATTTGCCAAAATTGGCTCACTTTGGAAAAACGTCCAAGAAACTGGATATTAGTAATAACTGGTATCTTTAACTTTTCTAAGAAACCGAACAAAACTTGCGGTTTCTTTGGCTAAGATACCTACTACCTAGGCACCACAACTATTACGGTTTCTTAGACTAGTTTTGCCCGGTCTCTTAGGCCAATTTTGTAGTAGTGATAGGTCCAATTGTTTGTAAGTTTATTAAGAACATTTTGTTCTTTGTCATAGAGTCTATGGCTATAAGCTTAGAGTATCTATCATGTAGCCACAACTTTTATCCCTCCATTATTATTTTACATCCATTGACCTCTAAGAGTTGACCCACACTTAAGATA